TTATCTATATAAAAATGTATATTTATTCTAGAATAAAACAAAGAATTTATTAAAAGTTGATTTTTTTTTCTGACAAAATTGCATTAAAAAAAAAAAAAAAACAATATTGAGTAAACATTTAAAATAATATTTAAAAGTAATAAAATCGAGTATTTTCTTACTTTTTTTTTGTGAAGTAGTTTATCAGTTTAATTTTTCCATTTCAGCTTCAAATATCATGAAATAAAATTACATCAGTAAAATTTTCAGGAAATGATAAGACTGATCAGGTTTTTCTGTAATCACGGTTTTTTCTATGCAGTAATACAGACATTGGCAAGACGGAGCGAATTGAGATTTATTAAATTTATTAAATTGGGTTCGAAACCTATTTTTTGATTATACTTTCATAACAAGCTGATTTATGTCTAGAATAAAAATCAGAAAAATTATTAACATTAAGTTTCACAAGTTACTAAAGTAAGATTTAGACAAAAAATTTTCGAAAATATTTTAAAAGTTTCGATCGTCCAAATAATATTAATTCTAGACACCTTTTATATAAATATAAACATTTCCTGGTAATTTCATTTGTAAATTAATTTGGATGAGTATTTTAGAAGTTATGAACCTCATTGATTTGAAGAATGTTTTCCTTTTGTCTATTTCTCAATTTCTTACGAGTTAAATTTGTCATTCCTTAAACTTATAGTTTATTATACGTATGCAATCATTATCCTCCTAAACACGGTATTGTATACTGTAAAATTTCCTGAATCTATCCCAAATTTTTTGAAAACTTTAAGAACACCTTTTTTCTTTTTTAACACCTTTGCTAACAAATGTTGGCTTTTGGGCATCTTCCTGAAGGCATATTATAAAGATGTTTGTTGCTACTTTGGGTTTTTTTCATGCAGGTATTTCTCAAGCAGTGTTTTATTTCTTAAATCAATAAAAATTGATGATACAAGATTTTTTAGTAAAATTATCTTTAATGAAAAGCTGTTGGGCTAATTCGTAGAACAATGTTCATGAATCAAAAAACCCTATTAATTGCAGACAGACTTTTGCTTTTTTCATGAAATGTAATTACAATTCTTGAGTTAAAGTCAAAAGCACTAGCTCTTGGACTATTTGGTTTTCACAAAGTTTTACTTGTGTAAATGGAGTAACTCCATTCACAAATTATGCAACAAGTCCTTGTTTTTTTTTTTTTTTTTTATATCATTTTTAAAGGTATCCTTATTGCTACAGGTTGGACAGCAACCAATATGACTAATAATCTCAGAAATAACATCGGTATTAATTAAAACATGATGTAATAGAGAGTTGATATTCTGTAAATAAGGGTTTACTGATAGTTTTTACCTTAAAAATAAAACTGATAACAACTTCACTCTTGTTTGTAGTGTCATTTGATAACATGAGAGTTAAACTCAGTTGTGATTGACCACTTTTATATTTCTGTCTAATAAATTTTTTGATCCTCGTAATTTTCTTTTTAATGCTTACGCTCATTTTGTCTGTTTAAACTACTCAAAAGACAAAATTTTTTCAACCAATATCATAACTATTACTCTAGTCATAAAATTTTTACTGTATAGCAACATCAAGGCATAAGTTCGTTATCTTTTACTCAGCATTAGTTTAATATTTTTACACAGCATTATTGAACGTTAAAACGTTAGGTCTAATACACACAATACTATGTACGAAGCTTGATTTACAGAGAAAGAGTCATGTTAAAATTCCAATTACTTGTGATAATGAAGAATTCAAAATTTTGGGTTTTAAATACTTTCAAGAAAAAATAATAACAGATTCAGAATTTAGGAGAAATTTTAGAAAGTTGATTTTGTAATAAACGAAGCCTACGCTGATTGGGTGTCGCGTTTGTTGAAACAACTGCATTTGTTGAAAGTTGGCAAGCTGCGTACAGGGATGCTGGTGGCGGAGGTGGTGGGTTTACTGCGTGTGTACTTAATGGATGCTCTCTTGTTCACTTTTTTATGGCTGAAGGGGTCACTACAGTTGAGGAGGTTTTTTTTTAATTATGATTGCAACCATTTCTCAACTCAATAAATTCGAAACGAATTTTAACGAATAAAGACGCTGCATGAAAAAACAAATTGAGGAGTGGATTTTCAAAAGTTACTTTGCGGTCATACATAAAGTACATACGATATAGCACTTTATGGAGGAAAAGCACTGAATATGAGCCTTTTTTAATACTTTTTTTAAAAAAAAAAAGAAATAAAGTTTTAGGAGAGAAGGAGAACGTGAGATAATCAAACGGCAAACGTACTCACTGTCTTTAATACTCTCATACATTTTATGCATTCATACATTTTTGAGTAACTCCCACCATCTCCCCATACCTGCGTACGTAATTAATGAAAGACCCTTATGTCCAAATAAATTGATTTTGAGAAATTGACAAAAAACAAGGTACACAACAACACAACAACAGAAGTTGTTTTTTTCTAAATTTAAGACCATGATTCTACTATTTATATCTAATATTCAAATGGATGATAGATTTGAATATATAAAACTTGAAAATGAATCACTCAAAATTTTTACTTTTGTGACTTCGCACCATTTAAAAATTCACTCCTTAATTATACAATAAACACTTTAGGAATAAATATTTATTAATCAAAGATGGCTTAACTATGAAAACATTTATGATTTGACAAACAGACAATCCTACTTTACTTTTAAACCATAATTTGATTTAATTGATTGCATTGCTGTTGGAAATAAATTTGTTTTTGCAAAGATACCATTTTGTTTCAATCAAGGGAACTGGTTCCCTAAATTGGAACACTTTGATTCCTTAATTAGAATTGGTTGTTTTTTTTTAAAAAAAACTCTAGTAAAATCAACAAAAATTGATTAAAAATGATTTTTATCTTTACAATGAAGATTTAAACAGTTGATTCAAAACTTATAATAGGATTAATATTACCCTGACAAACTGAAAGTCTACAAACAAAAAGTTGTATAAAAGCTTCAACTGTTCTCTTAATTTATTAATTAAAAATCACTAAATAAAGTATTATTTTAAAGGTTTATGGTTGTTACTAAGTATTTTTAAACTGCGCTTTTTCTATAACCCTTTGATTTTATTACTCATTAAGTAAGGAAAAACATTATAGCTTCAATCAAGGAAACTTTGCACTGTTTTAATATATCACTGCGATATCATGTTTGCAACAACTTATAAGATAAGTTTATATTGTTATTTTGCATTCTAAATCGAATCGAATACAAAAAAAGCGTATAGCCTATAGTTTACCCAACGTAATCAATATAATGTGAGCACAAAAATAGATCAGTGAAAAAAAATGACGCAAAAAAACTTCAAATCAATGGTGCACATGCATTTTTTGAGTAAGAACTTTCAAAATGTGTCAAAACGTTGCGTTTTACTAAAAAAATGCAAAATGTGCCCATTATTCTTTTTTCAATTTAAATCTTAAAATGTTACAACATATTTTAACATTTCAAGAGAAATGATAAAAACCAGTTCGCGTACAGTAATTAAAAAAAAAAGAATTCAAAAATTTGCTTTTTATTTGACATTTTGCTTATCATCTCGCTACCAATCAAATTACGTTGTGAAAAATAAAAAATATTGTTTGGAACGATTTTCGCTCGATTTCCTTTTTTTCTCCTCATTATTTATAAAGAAATTAAAAAAAAAGTCAGGAAAAAAAACACAATAATGATTTGTTACCATGTTAAAAAAATAAAATCAAGTTTAGGAGAGATAGTCAAACCGCGTACGTATTCACTGTCTTTAACCCCCCCCCTTGTACACGTTCGTACGCTTTTGGGAATCCACCTCCCCCCATCCCCGTGTACGTACTTTATGGATGGCCCCTATCATGGTCTTCCAGCGTGTTTATAATTTTAGCTGGAAACGGGTCGTATTTATCTAGTAATTCAAAAAGCCGAAGAAAATTCCATTGTGACATGATTCAATTTTCTGCTCTGATCCACGAAATGCAAATCTTCTGATTTGTCACGCATAGAAAAAAAAAAAAAAAAAAAATCGTTAGATTTTTGTTTGAAGGCTAACATAAATCTCTCTATATATTAACCAATAGACTAAAAAAATAGATATTAAATATAATTATAGTTTAACTTTACGAAGAAGGTGGTGACGCTTAATAAAGTTCCAGCATTGTCACGGACTTCGGATATTTTTGCCAATTTGTTATAATGAACTCAATTAATCCATTATTTTGACATATCTAGCAGGTAGAATATTCTTCAACGTTTTGAGCTAATTTCAACATTTTGATTTGCAATTCGTTTTAAATTTACTTCTTTTTTTTTTGTTTGTCTCCGGATTTCGCTTTGCCATGGTCATGCAAGTTTAATGTCAAAATAAAAAGAATTTTCTACTAAATTATTATTATTTTTTTAATACGCAGGCAGATTTTTATTTTTGCTTTTCAAACAATAAATAATTTTAATCATACGCTTATTTTAATGCTGATAGAAATATTATTAAGCAAACTTTTAAGACGCGATATATCATTAACAAAGTTTACACGTTTATAACAAATTTCGCAATTATCAGTGTAAACAAACAAAAGGAGAAACTTTATTTCTCCAACAATTATAAAAAAAAAAAATTTTTAATTTTTGAAATTTATTAAAAAGGTATTTTTTAACTAACGACAAAAACTTGATTTCCTGCTGACTGGCTTCTCAAAACGCCCTGGCCCCGCAGCGGTTGCCTATGCAGGACATGGGTAAAGACGGGCCTGCATTCAGTAACATCTAATTTGCATCAATTTAAGACAAATGGTCATTAAGATTACGTAAAAAAATTATTCTTATCATATGGCTATGAGTCCTGTCAATTACGAGGATTTTACATTTAAGGTAAAAAAGTTACATAACTAATTTGAACTAATTTAGCTTTACATATAAAACATAATTTTATATTTTATACGTAAAATTTAAATCGTTATACACAATTACGCTTAAAATGTTATACACAATTACAATAGTATTACGATTATTTAATTTTAATAAAATTTGTTATTACACTGTAAAATTAAATCACATACTAACTTAAAATGTTAGATTGTAGTTTCAGGTTATTATGTAATTTATGTAATTTGAAGCCTGGTATATATTATAATATTATTAAAACTCAGGACTTTCATCGCGATCACGAGTTTGAATTTCATAACTTTGAGTAGACAACACTTGTCCATTTGAAATGGAATCTATAAAATAAAAAGAGTCTATTTCAATAAAGTGTACTTTTTTAAAAAGTAGAAAAAAATCTTTTATGAACCCGATAAATTTTATTGCTATTGAACTTTAATAGCAAAATAAATTTCATTAAGGATTTAAGAAACGATGTCAATTGAAATAATTTTATTAATACAAACAAATCATAATAAATATCAAGATAATTTTTAAGCGTACTGCTACACTTCAAAAAAATTTCAAAATAGCTTATTTATGATAAATTTTTGAAGATAAATAATCAATAAGTGCTTTTATATCTTGTAGACTAATATACCAAAATAGCATAAACTAACAATGTTCTATAATAAAAGAATTATGATGTCAATAAAACTAGGATCAAGGTAATGAAAAATTTAGAAAGGGTTTATACGATATTTCCGTAAAACAAAGTAAATTTGCTAACCTGTAATCTTTGATACAGTCAGTTTTATTGGCATAATATTTGATTGACTCAATCAAATATTAGTAAAGTAATCAAAAATCACGTAAATATTTTTAATGTACAGATTCTTATTGCGCTGATTAGTAAATAATTAAAGATCTAGTTTAGAGTCGCTTCAGATTTTGCTGAGCGAAAATTTGTCTAGGAAAGAACTATTTAATTTCATATGTATGATTTATTTATTTATTATATTTTAATTCATATATATGATTTATTTAATTAATAGCAGTCGGCGTTTTATATGATAACTCATTATAATCAAAAAAAGATCAATGCTAACAATGCACAAAATCAACAAACAAACAGCTTGACTCTTACAAAAGTATTCTTGTCAAATGACTAAAAATTGAAGTTCATAAGCATAATGGATTAAAAACACTTAAAATACATTTAAAAAAACATGCATCTATGAATTCCTAAAAGCAAATAACCATTTTTTTAAATTATACGACAAAAAAGTTTTTAAAATATCTACTGAAGTTTGATGAAATATTTTAACACTTTCTTCCTAAAGTTTTGTTTTATTTTTTCAAAGTTTTTGATTTTGAAAAGCAACTGACTTCTTTAGCACTATGCTTAAAGTTTAAGTTTTATATATAACAACTTTCAAAGATAAAAAAAATTTTAATCAGGTGTGCCAACATCTATTTAAAAAGCATTATTCCTACAACAAATCTATTCCTTTAGATAAAAACAAAAAACAGAAAAAAAACAAACGGAAATAAACTTTAAAAATTGGAATAAAATTTTTTTATCATTGATACAATCATAAAACAAAGAGGTTAACCAGGCTTGGTCGGGAAGCGGGTGCGATCGCACTCGATATTTGACCACGGAAATTATATTTAGTTGCGAAAAGCCGGCCAGATTTTTTAGGCGTTTTGAGAACATTTCAAAAACAAGCAAAAAAGCGCAATAAGATAAAGTGACCAATGAGAGACAGTTAAAAAAAGAAAAATAGCTTTTAACGCGAAAAAACTTTAAGCAAAATAAATACGATTAGATCAAATATTTTTGAAACGTCGCTCTTTTATAATTTTTTTTTTTAAAAAAAAGCGACATTTTTTGTATATAGTAACAACGTACTAATAATGATTGTTTAATAAAGAAACAAATGTTCTTCAATTTATCAAAGATTATATATAATTTTTATTTATATACTTATGTCTTATTTCCAGTGCTGGAAATAAGAGGTGGGGGGGGGGGGGGGGTAGAAGAGCTATATAGTCCCGGGACACACAATGTTATGGGCCAAGAAATAGTCAAGAGGACCTATCGGTATTTTTAAGTCATTTTTACGCTGTCGCACATAAAAAAGGCCACCAAAATAATGCAGCCTCCGGCCCTGTAAAGTCCAACAAGATTTAACCAATAAAACTAACGCTACATAATTTAATTATAAATAAAAAAAGTTTTTTCAGTACCTGTTTTATGCTTCGCGTAGTTTGAAAAGTTTAACATATTTGAAACAATTCTTCTTAGTAAGATGAACAAATGAAATAACTAAATCATTGAGTTACTGTGGAAATTTAATTAGCTAGATAGAAATTAACTAAAAACGTTAAAATACTTTGTAAGGAAGCGGAACTGCTTAACAATATCGCTGACGATGTTTAGTGAGTAGGCTTTATATCTTTAACTAGTATTTTACAGAAAAAAGTAACTTTAAGTGTAAGTATAACGAGTTTGTAAGAATGGCTGAAGCAAAAATAATTGAAGTTAATAAACCAATTTCTAATACATTACATACATATAAATACATCCCTTATATATAAAAAACAAGATTATACTAATTAAATCTATAATATATTTACAAAACGTTAAAAATTTAAAACATTTATTTTTGAAAACAAATGTTAGTTTAAAACATTTATAGCTTTGTAGATGTGACTCCGAGAATGAGCCATTGTATTAACATAATTGTTCGTTTGATAAAACAACTGATACTAGAAATCTCAACGAAAACATAACAAAACTCAAATTAAACGATTTTGAAAAATAATTCAACAGAATACTCTAGAACATTCGCTTGAATTCTTTAGTAATTTCAGTTATTTATTAATTGAACCAATAGAATTAATTTTTGGTAAATTTGGCGGGTTTTTTGTGTTCGCGAATATTTTTTATTTATTTTTCCGCACTAAGATGTTTGACAACATTTAAGTTTATACAAGTTTCCATATACGTCCGTAAAACAAAATTTACGATAAAATAATAAATTTATTATTTTGCGGACAAACAAGGAAACATAAATAAACTTAAATGTTCTCAAAACGCCTGAAAAATCTGGCCGGCTTTTCGCAAGTAAATATAATTTCCCTGGTCAATAGACGATATTCGAAATTAATTTTAAAAGGCGAGAAATATTTTTCCGTGCGTTTTTACATAAAAAAAGTAGATATAAACAGTGCGAAGTGGAAATAAGTGATAAGATAAACAAATTAGTTATTAAGATATCTAATAACAACTTTGCAATTTTTAAAAATTTGCTTTTAAAACAAGAATTATATATATATATATATACATATATATAAATATATATATATATATATATATATATATATATATATATATATATATATATATATATATATATATATATATATATTTGTTTGTGTGTGTGTGTGTGTGTGCGTGTGTTAGTGTATGTGTGTAGAAGGAAAAATTTCAGGTAACAAATGAAAAAAACTATTCAAACTTAAATTTATTTAAGTTTAACTAACAAATATATTTTACTCATCTAAGTTTGAATAATTTTTTTAATTTGTTATACGGCATTTTTCTTTTACACACACACTATATATATATATATATATATATATATATATATATATATATATATATATATATATATATATATATATATATATATATATATATATATATATTATATAATTCATTACTTATAAGACAAAATGTTTTTAATCTTCCAATAACTTGTTCCACAAGAATTCTAATTTTAGCAATTGAACTTGTTTTCTTAACTTCAAAAGGTGTCATTTGTGATGTTCCTCGCTGACCAGGTGGTACAGTAAAAAATAAATGTCGAGCAGTGCATTCATCATGCAAATAAACCCTTTGTCTAACATAACTATAGAAAAAGGAGATAGAAATCAAGAAAACCACAATCCATAATTAACGCTTTGTCGGAAATCCGACTCGTATAACCTTCTGATATAAACAATAAAAGAATTAGGAGCAACACCTATTAAAAACTTTAAAGTATTGTGGTGTTTATATTCAGACTAAGTAACACTTTACAATTCCAAATTTCTTGGGGTTTGTATGAAAATTTCTGAACAGTCAATAATAGCTGCCAATTTTTTATATTTTTTAAATCATAAAGGGCTTGTTGCATTTATCGTGCCAAGGTCTGGTACAAATATAAGATGCTTACAAACTTCTGCTAATGTTCTTATCCAAGAATGAAATATTTTGGAACATGTGCTAATAGATATATTAAAAAAAACGACTAGCAAGATCTTTGTTAAATGATCCTAATCGAAATTTCATTAAAGTCAGCAGAAACTCATTTTGTGAACATAATTTTCTTGCACGTCCTACTTTTTTTAGTGTTTCTTTTAACAGAAACAGAATTATATTATTTTTTAACATAAGGGCTAATAAAGTCATGCAATTTATTAAATAACTCTAAAGAACCAAGATTTGTATAGAACTTTACATTACTGTTTGATAGAAGTTTCTTATATACAGATATAGGCTTAGTTGGTTGCATTATAATTTTGTTTTGAAGTTTAATATTTTCAGCTTTTAACTTCTTAATTTCTAAATAACAGTTGATAATTAAAGCATAGAGTGTTAAAATTAAAAAGACCATTTAAGTCAAAATAATTGAATTTAATTGAACATTTTTTTCAGTATTTGATACAAACTGACTTTTAGATGCTAAAGTATCAAGATCGTCTGTCAATATTTCTGTCAATATAAACTTTATTATCCATTACCAAAGATTTTAGTTAATGTTTGTTTGGATTTTAGTTTTAAAAGTAGAGTTCTTTAAACTGTTTTTTTTTTTTAACATTTTAGCATTTATTTTAGTAACTGCTGTAATCACATATGTATTTTTACAAGTAGAGGCGGATATAGTGGCTGTATTTATTGAAAATGAATCAGAAATTATGTTGTTATTTCGTTTATTTATTGGTCGATTACAATTAGATGAAATAGAAGGAACAAATTATTATTTTATTTAATGCGTTGTATCCCAATAGTTCTATAAGATATTCAAATTTTTCATGAATAAAATGTTCCGAACAAATTCTACTGTAATTAGAAGCTTCCCATTGAGATTTGTCTGAATTTACCCGAACTATCAATTTTTTTCAAATGGATCGACGCTCTGGGTCTTTTTCTTCAGTAGGAAAAGGAATAAGTTTAAATGGTTCAGAACAACAGCAATTAGGATCTTCTTTTGAAGATTTATGAATTTCACAAATAGCTTTTTTCCACTTTTTAAATTTGGTTAAGTGATTGGAAAAACCAATGAAAGAAAAGTGATGTAGCCATATTAAGCAAATAATTAAACTAATATAAACAAATCCAATGTTACTTCTTATGCTGTTTGTTTATTTTATTTATTCTATATCTACTTTTTTGTGTAAAATACGCACGAAAGATTCAAGTTTCTTATTATTCCAGAATTACGGAAAAAAATTTCGAATATCGTCTATTATCGAGTGCGATCACACCTGCTTCCCGACCAAGCCTGAGGTTAACTACATTTTTAACAAATCACACATAATTATCAAAGTTTTTGAAGACAATGTACACAAAAAAAAAATAAAAAAATAATGAAAACTTAATGAATACCTAATAACCATTTTTCTGAAACAGCACAAAAATTTTTTCTCCTACATCTTATGTGACCAATACCCATACCAGCTTTCCTTAATGATGCTGTTAACTAAATTTTTTTTCTTTTTTTAATAATTTTATAACTTAAAATGGATTACTACTATATAAGCTATGATATTTAAAAAAATTCAAAACTTAGATTCTAAATAACTCAACTTGTTTAAAGCCTAATAATTTTATGTTTCCTAACTTTTGCATAATAATAATAATAATAATAATAATAATAATAATAATAATAATAATAATAATAATAATAATAATAAGTACTTAAGTTACCTTGCCTCCACATTCTAATATCAACTTTTCCAAGTCTTCATGCGAGGGAAATGTTTTTTCAGCTAAGTATATTGGAAGTAATTTTGAGAAAAGAGTAGTATGTCTACTTCTACCTTCTAAGATACGCTGTGAGCGAGAAATCTTTTCGAAAAAAATAAAAGTTTAGGATATCTATAAAATGATTACCAATGGCATCATTGTTTTATTGTTTCTTAACATTTAAAAAAAAACAATTATATAAGAAATAATAAAAAAAGTAGTATAATAAAACATATAAATAAATAAATAAATATATATATATATATATATATATATATATATATTTTTTTTTAATCTTCGCTTCCAACAAGGTTGCAAGCAACCACTTATTAGTGTTGGAAGTTACTGGAAGAGAAAAGATGAAGATTGTAGAGCAAGATAACGATTGACAGACGACTTAAAATATTGCAAATTATATAAATCAGGAAAGCAAGATGAAGGAAGCGAATTCCAAAGTACTGATGTTCGAGGAAAAAAACTAGACGAATAAGATTTTTTGGAGCACTTAGGAACAGTAACAGAAAAAGGATGAGACTTAATTGAATGACGAGTAACACAAGAATGAATTTTAGTAGATGGCACAAGAGACGCTAGCTCTTTAGATCAGTGCCCATTATAATATTTGTAGAAAAGAGAAAGAGAAGCAACATTACGACGATGTGACAGAGGTTGAAGGTTGGCTGCAAAAGCAGGTCCAACTATGTTTACAATGCGTTTTTGCACCTTGTCTAAAAGAGAAAGGGCATCATTAGAAGATTCATCCCAGATATGGCAACAGTATTCCATACAAGGCCGGATTTGAGATTTATAGAGATAGAGAATAGAATCCAGAGTAAGAAAGTGACGAGCTCGATAAAGAGAAGCAACTTTAGCAAATGCTAATTTTGCAATGGATTTGATATAAGGTTTCCAAGAAAGATCAGAAGTAAGAGTTAATCCTAGAAGATGAAGGGTAGGAGACTCATCGAGTACATTACCGCTCATAAATATAGGAAGGTCTAAATTATTGCGATAACGATTGGCCGAAAAAAATTGAGTTTTATCTGAATTAAAGTTCACCAGCCACTGCGAGCCCCATGCTGTAGCAGAAGTGAGATCCTTTTCGAGCTCAGATGCCCCCTGCAAGCAATCAGAGGGAGTTGGCTTCTTATCGTGACAAGAATAAATGGTAGTATCATCAGTGAACAATGCCACCTTAGATGTGAGAATATCTGGAAGATCGTTAATGTAAATTAAAACGAGTATAGGGCCAAGGATTGAACCTTGGGGAACCCCTGTGGTTACAGAATAAGAAGAAGAGTGCTGTCCATCAAGGACAACTTTTATACTACGATTGGAAAGAAAGGATTCAATAATCTTAAAGATGTTTCCAGATACACCATAAGAAGAAAGCTTATGGAGGAGACCAGCATGCCAAACTTTATCAAACGCTTTAGAAATGTCAAGAGCAATGGCCTTAACCAACTTTCGATTGGCAATTGCAGCAGCACAATGTGAAGAAAACCATGGAGAAGAGTGAGGCTTGACCTGGAATAATATATATATAATATATATATATATATATATATATATATATATATATATATATATATATATATATATATATATATATATATATTACATAATGCGAATTACATTTACTTGCGCTACTGAGTAGTTTTTTTCTGTACTTCTATTTTTTAAAGTATTTAATATATATATATATATATATATATATATATATATATATATATATATATATATATATATATATATATAAGGGTGGGTCACATCTTTTTTTAGAGTTGCTAACCTGACTATGGCCTAGAAAGTTGTTTTTTTATGTACTAATTTAGGAAAGTATTTACTTTTATGGATTGAACAATGTCCTCCACTCGTAACTTTAATTACAAAAATTAGCAGGTCCTATTATTATTATTCAAAAAAAAAGTTTTTCAAAATTATGTAATGTTGGTACTCAAATAGAGCGAAATTTTATAAAAAATGCAAAAAAGATAATTTTCTTGTATAAAAATTATTATTTTAGATTTTATTTCAAAATAACTATGGTTTTTTAACTAAAAATGAAAATATATATATATATATATATATATATATATATATATATATATATATATATATATATATATATATATATATATATATATATATACATGTCAGAGAGTTTTTAGACTCAAGATAAGATAATTGAAATTGCTAATTCTCAAAGATCTTGCAAATAATAAAGAGAAGATTGGACAGTAGTTGGACTATAGTTAAACTGCAATTGGAGGACTGATTGGACAGTAGTTGGAGGGATCAGAATGTTCCCCAGAGTTTTTAAAAATTGAAACCACATATACCAGTTTCCAATAGATAGGAAACTAAGATTAATTCACTCACTAAATATTTTAGAGAAACGAAATAAGTAGGAGAACGCTTTTGTAAGAATATGACAAGAATATTGTCTGGACTACATGCTGTAGAAGACTGTTTAATTGAAATGAAATGAGTTTAAATGAAATAAAATGACTTTAGCAACTGAAGCCAAAGTGATTTGGATGTCTAACAATTGGTTAACCTGTTTAATTGGAATAGCCAGGAGAGTAAGACCACTTGAGAGTTGAATTAGAGGTAAAGTCCTTTTCAAATAGCACTGCATTATCTCTAAGAGAGGTAGAGATGAAATATTTAATTTAAATTTGTTAATGATACTGTTGAAGATTTTCCAAATTTCTCTAAAACATTCTCTGATAAAATGCACAAATTAGTAAACTGAGAATATTGGAGCTTAGCATCAGAAAGTATCATTTTATATCAGTTTCTTGCAATAAAAAAACAACATCTTTTTACATTGGTGAAGAGATGCACATAAAATAGAAGCATATAAAAAGGATAGTCTAAGAATTCAAACAAGATTTCAAGGCAGATAAGCGAATTGATGCATAAGTATATACCAAGCAATGAGACTATTAGAGTCTTGGCAAATCAAATAATAACAGCCATCAACACTGAGATCTGAAGATAAAGCAGTCAAACTCAAATTAGTTTCACAAACAGAAAAGGATTGTCTAAAAGTATTATCAGAGACACCATCCGTGCAAATCATGGCACTGTTAATACTCTGGTATTTTACAGCTCATTAGGAGATAACAGGAACAGTTGCATAGCTTCTATCAAGAAGGTGCAAGCAAACACAGATTTATATCTACGCCAGCCTAATAGATGAAAAAAGAATTAGAGGCTGCTTAACAGAATTATTCTATTTGCCCCTAAGTAGTAACTTAATCAAATTTTTACTTAGATACACATAAGACAACTCTGTCACAGTAAATAACTAAAAAAAAAAAAAACTTAAACATTAAAACAATTTGATATTGTTTTAAATCATAAAAGTTAAAAACTCAAAAAATAAAATTTAATTTTCAGAAAAATGTAAAACCTGTGCAGCAGGAAAATGTTCAACTAATTCATATTTATCTTCTGGAAGCCATTTACCATCATTATAAGAATCAGAGACCTAAAAAATACATAAACTAGAAAAAAATAATTTTAGTAAAAAAAGCAACCAAAATATTATCATTTTTACCCATTTAGGAGATAACAGCCAGCAACCTTTGATAATAGCATATAGAACATTTAGCGTCCTTCTACCACTACCAGAAACTACATGAGTAGTATCATGAAAAACATTTTTACGCAGTTGAAAACCTCCAAGATGTTTTGATGCAGCTTTAAAAAAATCATGTTCACTGTAAAAATAATTTCAATAATTTACAAAAGTTTTAAAAAAATTTAAAATGTGAAACAAAAAAAAAACAAAAAAAAATATTAACAGTAAATCATGAAACAAGCCCCAGTTTTTTTGTCAAACCAGTTTTTTTGTCTAAATCTGTTTTCTTGGCAGAACTTTATAAGAGAAGGGAACTCATTTTAGGCTGGGCTTATTAACTAATGCAATAACTTTTTTAGCCATATTTATAAAAATTACAATTAACAAAACGATTTGTTAATTTGACGAAATGTTGGCAATGAATTTGAGTTTTTATAAGAATAAATATATAAAAAAAATTTGCAAGAAGTTCAAATTACAAAAACATAATCTTTAAAATTACTACTAAAGGTGTAGGTGTAGTGGGGTTTGTCTTTATTGTTTTGTAAATGTTTTATTATAATATTTATTTTTATCGATTTATTCCTATTTATTAAAAATATTTTTACAATAATTCAAAGGAATATTGATACCCTCATGATCAAGTAAATTAAAAAACCACTATGAAAAATAAATGGCTATATTATACAAAACCATTTAAATTTACGAAACAATGTTCTTTGTTAGAGCTTCTTTTTAAGAGAGTTTTTTGTGACATTAGTATTTGAACATGGGTTTTCAAAATGGCATCATCACATAATCATTATCATCCTGGTTAAGACCATTTTGGGAAAGGTACTTTTATTGTGTTGTATTTACAACACTTCCCTAATTTTCTTCTTAAAATATTTATTACCTATTTTTAAGGTATTGCGACCATTCTAGTGGAAATTTCCTAGGCAAATTTTAGAATGTTCAGTTACAGCTGAATTTTCCCCTTTACCTTGTTGTACACTTGTTTGATGATGGCATATTCGAGACGATATCTTTAGTCCTGTTTCACCAACATTACATTTGCCACAAGAGCACTCTAATTTGTAAACACTGGGATAGGAATTATCCCAGTGTTTACAAATTAGAGGAATTATCTTTTTGGAGACAATAAAAAATGTTGATATTTTGTGAGATATTTTTTGTTGTTAACACTTTCTTTCATAGACTTAACTAGTTTTTCCAAATTTTTCCTCTCATAGCCGTTTTCTACAAATACATCAATAAGAAACAACAACTCATCATCAATGTTATTTATTGTGCGTAAATATAGTGCTCTATGGGCAAAACTATTAAATACACCATTGATAATTTTAAGAACATGGCATGAATTTGGTTTAATTTAAACATTTGTGATGTATTTTAAAACTATGTACCAGTTTTATTGTTAGTAACTGAAACATCAAGATTTAATTAGTATTGGTTAAGTTAGCAGTAGTATTGGAAATATTGGTTAAATCGAAGGATTCAACTGTGTATTGAATATTTTCATTTTGTTTATTAAGTAGATCTAAAAACTTTTGCGCATCTTCTTTTACCCGGAACCTTAAATGTATATCATCAACATGTTTTTTAAATGATTTCACATGGATGTTATTGTTAAGCACATATATATATATGTATATATATATATATATATATATATATATATATATGTGTGTATATATATACATATATATATGTGTATATATATATATATACATATATATGTGTATATATACATGTATATACAGGCCTCAGCAGGAATAAATGAGTACGAGAGCGGAAAAAAGCTGTCCTAAAATAAACTTGGGGAGCTGTGCGAGCTGCTCCTCATCTATATCGGCGCTCTTTTTTAATTCTAATTTTTATTTTGCAACAACTGTGCCTTTTAAAAAGCATCAGTATATTATGCAATTAATTTTTTCTAAATGACATTGTGTTTTTTATTTTATTTAAAATGATAATTATACTTTTAGGAGAAAAATTATACTTTTGCAAGAGCCGTAAATAGCTCTCATAAACCGTTTCAGGGGAGTGTGGGCAAGAGCGATAGCTAAAGCTCTCGCTTCCCGCCGAGGCCTGTATATATATACATATATATATATATGCATATATATATGTATATATATACATGTATATATATACATGTATATATATATGTATATATATACATGTATATATATATGTATATATATATATATATATACATATATATATATATATATATATATATATATATATATATATATATATATATATATATATATATATATATATATATACACACATGTAGTAGAAAATAAGAAATCAAAGCCATGCGGTCATTTCAACTTTGTTAAAATTGCAAATAGGCAACTGATAAATTTAAATTTATTTAAAAATTTCATTGCGATGATTTCACAAACGGTACAAGAATAATAATTGAAAAGATGAATGAAAAAAAAAAAAACTAAGTACAGTTGAGATAATGTTCTTTTATACAATTATTTTTGTTTTTTAAATGATTTTAAATTTTCCCACCGCAAACAGTGGGAAAAGCTATAAGAAAAATAATTGAAAAGATTGAATGAAAAAAAAACAAAGTAAAGTTGAGATAATGTTCTTTTATACAACATTTTCGAATAATAATAAAATAAGAACTTCAACCTCTGAAGTTAATGTCTATTTTATATCTCTTGCTTGTTAAAATCATTTTAAAAACCGCTAATATTAATTAGTCAATAAAAATGTTATTAACTTTCGTTGGCAGATACTATTTAAACTGTATATTTAATACTAAGAACACAATTGCTAATGTAACATAATTACTGATGTAAAATAAAACTAAATATATATACTTTTTTAACAATTCAATTATAGAAAAAACGAGGATTTAGTATTTTTAAATTTATCTTTAAATCATTCATTTGTTGGCAACACTTAAAAATAAAAAGATAAAATAAAAAGATTTAAAGAAAAAACAAATTGACTAAGTGCAGTTGAAAGAAAAAATGTTCAGTTAAATACAGAAATTATTATACATTATAATATTATTATTAATTATTATTAGTATATTGAATATTTTATTAAAATAATAATAAAATAAGAGCTTCAATCATTTATGAAAAAAAGAATTTTCACCACCAGTAAAATGAAAATACTACTAAAAAATAATAATTTCTGTGAAACAGCAAATTAGTGTTTCAAATAAATTGTAGTTGATTCAAAAAAAAAAAAAAATGAAAAGCATATCAATTTTAATAGCAAAATATCATTGTTTCTACATAGTATGAATAATCAATTTCTGTCACTAACTTCTAAAAATAAACATAATGTAATCAGGAAGTGTTCAAATAGGTGCTGCCAATTTTCTGTAAAACATGAAATTATATATTTAGAACAGGGCATCATGTCCTGTTGTTGAGAAGATAATAACAAATTTTTTTTGTTGTTGGTAGTGGAAATTAATATGGCACAAGAGATATTACAGGACTCATCATTTAGCATAGAAATAGAAAGTTGAATAGTTGTAGATTGCGGTTGATAAGCGTATACATTAACCAAGATGTATATAAGCTTATCAATATCTTTACAGATTCATTGATGGCATACATGACATGTATGCCATCAATCAATCTTACAAAACTCTGTTGTAATAAAACTCTAATGTTGTGATTAAACTCCCCAATATATTATATATTAAACTCCCCAATATATTATTATTGTCTAGTCATATACCTCCCTAATATATCATGTATAACTACATGATATATTAACTACCCCAATATATATAATAAATTATCAATAAATTTATTGAAGGAGATATAAAGATAAAAGGTAAAACTATGATGTTAAAAGGCTTCTTCATGGTAGTGATCATGTTTCCATGGAATGTTCTAACTCTGATCCTATTAAGCATTGACTTTCTAGTATTTTATTTAATAAAAAAAAATTAAATAACCATTGAGATTTATTTGAAGCGAGGATAGGAGATTATCTACCAAAAAGGATTTGGTAGTGGTGGGTTATTTAAGAAGGGTTCATAAAAATGAAGCTTATTAATGATTTACTGTATCTAACATTATCTTTGTTTTTGTTAATTTACCTAGAGTGCAAGCTGGTAGCAACTAATGATGGATTTAACTAAAGAAAATTATTTTATATTTTGTTAAAATAAAAAATAAAAAAAACAAGCAACCTAGCAACAAACTTTTAGATCATATCTACAAATTTATAAGATATACCTTTGAATAAGTTTTTGATTGATGTAAAATTTGATGTGATTTAATTAAACAAGAATTTTCTACTTCACCATCAGAAATTCCTGAATCATTATCATTACTAAATTTTGTACTATCAGGGATAATCTCCTGATTCAATTTTAAAGAGTTTATTAATCCACTACTTTCAACTAATTCTGAATCCATATGAACTTTCAGAAAATCTTTATTTGATGAGAGGTTGAGTTTATTATTTATCTCTGGAGGAAAACTAGAAATCATGTTTTTACATTTCTTGGTATTAAAATGTTGAGTATTTTCACAAACCACAGATTTATTTTTTCTGAATTTCATAGTGGTGACTTTGAAGTCGCCACCTGAAGATCTTCGATGCAAAGATTTCAGTCTTTCAGATGAACGAGAAGGCAGTAATTCTTTTTGTGGCAACAATGCTTTGGTCACAAGACTATCATTAAAACAATTTATACTTAACTGTTTGCTATCATTTGTATCTGTGTCTTTAACAGACAATAAACATAACTTTTCCATTAATGGTATTGAGAATGTAGATTTATTAACAACTTCATCTGTATCATGAGACAAAGAAACATTTCCTAAAACAAAACAAAAAAAAAGCAAATTTGAATAAGTTTAATTTATATCTTTTTAAATTCAACTTTTTTTAATTTTTTTATTTGCTGATTAAATTAAATTTTTGGTTGATAAATAGAACTACAGTGTTGGCCAAATTAATCAAAATCAGTCACAAATAAGCAAACTCATGACATCATTTTTTATTCACTCCCAAAATTACATAAAATTGCATTCAAAAAAACTGTTCATATTAAGAGTATCTAGTACTTGGTGAAAAAATCCTTTAACCTTCAGAAGCGTTTGTATTCTTTCTGGCAGGGTAAACCAGAGATGTGCAGTCACCAGTCAATTTAACATTTCTTGTCCATGAGTTAATAATCTCTTCTATCAATTGTTGCTTGTTTACAATCTTTTTCTTTATCATATCAGCTTTTAGAATCGACCACAAGTTCACAAAAGGGTTCATGTCTGGGCTATTGCCCAGCTATTGTAAAACGTCTATTGTAAAACGTCAATACCCTCAGAAATCAGATATTGGGCAATTCTACGCTCCTTATGGCAAGGTGCTCCATTATGCATAAAAATTAAATCTCCAATTCTTTGCAATCCTTTCTTTTCAGCCCACTCCTTCAACTGTGGAATGAGGTGCTTCTCCAACAGTCTTGTACTGGTTCTGCCTCATTGTACCCTCTACAACATACAACTTACCTGTGCCAAAAATGCTAAAAAATTACACCCAATATCATAACCTGTGTTGGGCACTTAACATGCTGAACAATACAGTCTTCTCTAATTTCTTCTCCAACTTTTTGTCTTACATACTGCACTTGCTGCTCAGAACATTGAATAATACTCATACCACTGAAAACAATGCTTTCCCAATCTTCCCTAGTCCATGGACAAAGGTGCTTTTCCCAGTTGAGACATTTAGTTTTCATGTGAGAAGTTAATTTCTGCTTCTTAAATGGGCAATAAGCTTTAAACTTTTTTCAAACAATCTTTTTCTAACTGTTCTGTTATTCATAGAAACACTGTGCTTCTCCATAATACACTGCAGCAATTAACTTGTTGCTTTTCTTTTTTTTTTACACTCTCGTACCAGAAACATATTGTCTCTTCTGCTTGTTATTCTTTTGTGACCACATTTTGACTTATGTATGGGTGAAAAATTCATTTTTAAACGCAGCTTCTTTCAAAGTCTGCAAACAAATGCTTCACTAACACCAACTTTACTAGCGATATCCTTTTCCTAAAGCCCTTGTTTTAGAAGAATTTCAACTTTAGCCTGGTATCTTGATTGCCCCTATTTACTATAACGACTAGTTCAATAAACAAATCACGTTGTGATGTCATAATAATGAACTGGATCAAAGATTTTTTAGCACGCTTTTTGGAGGTTTATATTTAATTTATTGACATATGTGTAAAAGCACAGTGATTGTATGTGATTTCAATTAATTTGGCCAACACTGTAATGCAACTATTTTGAACAAATACTCTAAAAGCGTAAGAAAACAAAATTGCAAATTTGTTTTATATGAAATACTTAGACTGTTGCAGAAACATAAATTTTTTTCGTAATTTTCAAATCTAAATACCATAAATCTAAATACCATATATTTTAGTGTTATTGATGTAAAAATCAACACGTAACATTGAATGACTAACGTTAATAAAAATATGACACATCCAGCTTGTTTCTCTGTGTAGCTGCTTTGTTGATCAAGGCTTACTGCACAGAGAAACAAGGATTGAGAGAGGGTTATAACAATGTTTTAAAAAAACAATTGAGTAGCTACCTCAATTGAAATGGCCCTTTGGCAAATGTAATTGTGATATAATTAAAAAAAAAAAAGTAAAAAAAAAAACTTCATTAATAAATTAATTAATAAACCTAATTGTGCCTAGCTGTATTTAATTAATAAATACTTATAGTTATGCTGCATTTAACTATACCTAGTTAAATTTAATTTTATCAAGTTGCATACAATTATATAAAGCTATATTGTATTATATTGTATTTTATTATGCTTAGCTGTTTTTAATGATATTAAGTGTAACAGAGTATATTAGGTGTAACAATGAAAAAGTAAAAACAAACCTTTTTTATTTGTAGGGCTTATTACATTTTCTTGTTGTGTTACTTTTGCCATTGATAAAAGCTTCTTTTTTTTAATCTTTCCTAGACAACAATCAGATTCATTTATTTTTGGTGAATAGTTAATTGAGTTGTTGAAGATCAGTGTTTCTTTTAATAGATTTTCATTATTAAGATTGCTACAAGAACAAACACAAGAATTATTCAGAGATTCGGGAATTTTTTTTTGTTGAGATTTATCAAACCCACATTGGCCACAAAGCTGTTCATAGTGATTACAAAAATTCCTAGGACTCTTATTATGAGTCAAATCTAATGAATTTTCTGTAATGTTTTTATGTTGTACATTAGTATTACTTATTGCATTGAGTACACAAGAAGAGTCAGATTCTTTAGAACTGGTTCCAAAAGGAAAAGATTCGTTTAAGCAATTAGTAAGCAAAATTTCAGGAGTATCAAATGATTTTAACGGGGTGCAACACGATTTTTCATATAAACTTGAATTAAATTTTTCTTCCTCTTTTGACAAAGATAATCTTTCAGAAAATTGCTGTACATTAAAACCAACTTTTAAATCCTTTTTTTGTGCCTTTTTTCTTTGTAAAGACGCACCATTACAATGGTTTGTAACTTCTTCATCTAAGATGCAATTTAAATATTACTAAAAAATAATTGTTAAATCAACACCAAAACAAAAGTCAAAAATATAAAAAGTTCAAATTACCAAAATTCAATTTACATTGCACATCTTCGTGTATACTTTCAGGTTCTAATAAAAAACAATTTTTTTTTTAAATCTGAATTTGACTTTTATCTTATTTTTTCAATAACTATTTTTCATTAACATTTCATAAATAAAAAAATTGAAAAAAATAAAAATTCTTAATTAAATAAAGTTGGAAAACTCAACAGCCTTTTCCATTTTAGAATAAAAATATTTTTTGTATAAAAATCAAAGACATTTCATCCAAGATTACTGCAGGCTTAAATCAATAAAATATGCAATCACAAGATTACTGCAGGCTTCAATCAATGCAACATGCGATAACAAGATTACTGCAGGCTTAAATCAATGCAATATGCAATCACAAGATTCTTGCAGGTTTCAATCAATGCAATATGCAATCACAAGATTATTGCAGGCTTAAATCAATGCAATATGCAATCACAAGATTACTGCAGGCTTAAATCAATGCAACATGCAATCACAAATTGCTTTTATATATGGCATTTTTCTGATACGATTTTTTTTTTGCCTCTTTAATAAAAACTAACAATTAATTTTAATTATATTTTAGGGTTCATGAAAGTAAAATTAGAACTTTAAGTAAAAGCTTTAAGTTAATACCACAAATATTTAATGATCTGTAAAAAAGAGAATGAAAAAATAAAAAAAAGAGAGAGAAATATAATTTTTTAGTTTATTATAACAAATTGCATTAAAAAAAAATGGATTTTTCATTAAAAATGCATAAAAAGACAATTTATAAAATAAATTTTAACAAGAAAAATACAAAACAAGCTTAAGTTTTAAACAAGTTGTCTGTTGATGTCATGTTGTTTGATGATGTCATGTTGTCTGATGATGTGTCTATTTGTTTATGCTTTCAGTTACTGGACAAATAGTTCCAGAGATATTTGACATCACTTAAACACCAAATGACAAGATGTCTTTCCTTGTATAGTTATATATTATATAGGTAAAAGATTTTTAACCTCCAATCAACACTTGGCATGCAGATACACACAAAAGATTATAAGCAATTACCTAGTATTATTAAAGTTATAAAATAGAAAATAAATCTAAACAGACTGTTTGTATATATTAGACACACACCTTTTTATATTTTTACACATTGGTATATATTAGAAAAAAACGTTTGATCAAGTGAGAACCCTTAGCAATTGGAAATACAACCTACATAGTAGAAGGAAAACTCCAATATCAAACCCCTTATTTATCAAGGGAAAGAGTATAAGGGGCTCATAAAATTTGGGTAAAAATCCTCCTAGTGGTAGTATCGCATTAAAATACTCAGTTTTGATCTGCAAAACAGGTTTATTCCAGGACATCTGATTGTAATGAATTGCTTTAACTTTTCCACAATATCATATTTAAAAAATATGGCATCATAGAAACTTGTTCAAAGAACATATAGAAACCTGTTCAAAGTACACATAGAAACCTGTTCAAAGCACACATAGAAACCTGTTCGAAGCACACAAGTGTAAAAACATGGATATTAAACTTAAATGAAAAAAAAAAAAAAAAAAAGACTTCAATCACCACAGAATAAAAATGTTGATGAAAAATTCAAACAACTATATGACATGTTATTTTTTGTATTTACAAAACATCGCTTTTCAATTGACCAGAAATTATTCAAATCTAATTAAAATACAATTGAGTCAATTGTATTTTATTTAGATTTAAAATAATTTCTGTAGAAGAAAGTCAACTACAAATAAAACTAAATGCAATTAATGAGTGATTCGTAAGTCTTTGCAAAACTTTAAATTTAAGATACTTTACTAGCATTATTATAGTTAATATTAATTATTAAATAAAAATAAACTTTAGTTATTGTAAATTAAAAATATCTATTATATAATGCTATTAGGGCCATGGTTGCCTATTTTATGAAGTTTATTTTTTACTTTCTCCATATGACTTTAAAGCTCATTTAAATTTTATTCTCTTAAACATTTTTCTATATATCTGATCAATTGATGCTTTGTTTTTGCAGCCCATCCTTCCTCATACTTTTAAACATACATTAGCCCAAAAATTTCAATTAAACAGGCTGGAGGAACATTTAGAGGATTATCATCCTTAGGAACGAATTTGATGTTATTAGCTTTAATAAAGTCAATGACCTCATTTGTTTAATGAGAACTAGCTAAATCTGGCTAAAATATATATTTGTATTTGTTATACATCAATCTAATAAATGGAATTAATTTGTCTCAAACATTAACTGATATAGCGCTTAGCATCGATTAAAATATGTGATTCTTCTATAAATGGTTCTGAGATTTTATAATCAATATAATAACCATCATTACCTTCTGTTATACTGTTGTTTAAGGTAAAATATTTTTTATCATCAATAATTATTGTTTTTCCAACAAAAGATTTTATTGCTAACTTTCTTGAGGCTCTGATAATTTATTGCGTTTATTTTTTACACTTATTAGTGCTTTTACTTTTTACTTTGTTGAATTTCATTCTTTTTTTTTTTTAATATTGACTTTATTTTGTGAAATACTAAGTTTTTAAATTCTTCAGTTCTATGATTTTCTTGCCATCTTTGTTTCGCTCTAGTTTGATAGGACGGCCACTTTTTGGTAAATCTTCAGTTGTTGGAGAACGTAGGTATTTTTTTGTACTTAAGGTGTTTTACAACATTTAAATAGTAACTTACAGTTCTTACAATTTTATTGATAGATTCTCTTGCATTGTAATTTGTATAATTAGTGTAATTAAAATAAAAACTTAATTATTATTATTATTTTTTTTTATGTAAGAAATAAAATCTAAAAAAAATTTAGTTGCAATTACTTCTAAGATATAGACATAAAAACTGCCTGCAAAGACTTATAAATCACCTGTTATTTTATAAAAAATTTAGGTTACATTTATTTTGTACCATTTATTTCTTAAATCAACAAAACAGGCATATTATGATAAATATTATATAAAAACATGTACTTTATTGATCAGAGCATAAAAGTTTAAAACATCTTTTTGCTCATTTTAAAAATAAATTAGGCCTTGAAAATAGAATGAACACTGAAATATACAGAAATCATTCAAACTCTTGATTTTAACTTTTTTATATATAAACTTACAATAACCTTTATGAGCTATACTAATAAACACTTTTTATAAAATCCTTTTTAAAGAATAAGGTGTACTGAAAAATTCTTACTGAAATTAATTATTCTAAAAATACAAAAAATATTTTCATGATATATTGACTGCCAGATAATTAAACCTTTCATGTATTAAAACTTTTCAAAAAACCCACCAGTATTAGAGCTATTAATAAATTCAAGTATCCAGGGAGTATCAGGAACAGGTCGTGGAGTAGCAAGCAACTTATACAAATCCTAAAACATTAAAAAAAGATTATATAAAGAATATTTAATAAATAATTTTGTAAATATGAAAAGCATTAAAAGATATTTATTTATCATAACTTTCTTTGACCCTGATCAGGAGAATGTTGCTATTGTATATTTTATAACAGAAGTAAAACAGTAGTTAGAAGATAACTACAACAATTCATGACAAAAATATTTAATTATAAAGATTACAAAAAAGTTAGTTTAAATAAAAGAGTATCAGTTAAACAAAACACTTACAGAACTTTTTTCATATTCCTGACTGTCATGACAGATGATCTGATCTAAATCAAAATTATTAAAATTGTATCCTTTTAGTAAAAAACAAAACGAATAAAAAATTAACAAAAATTTAACAAAATGTAAAATTTATAAACTTTCAATTAAAAATATTAAAAAAATTAAATCAGGTTTATACACATAGTAACTACAGTGGTTATGGCACTCAGGGAAAACCTGGAACAGTCAGGGAACTTTTTTTTTTAAATCAAAAGATTATTTTAGTTTTATATTTAACTTGAAGTTATTTTGCAATATACAATGAATATATACAAAAACTCAATATAAATTTGGAGTCTTTATTATTATTGAAAGTTGATCATTACAGTGGTTTTATAACTTTCATAGTATATAGTAACTATATGTTTATATAAATGTTTAATTAAATATTATAAGACATCACTTCAGAAAAGACATTTTCAAGATGATTGATTACAACACCATATTTATAAAAATTAGTTAGTTTCTGATGCACATACAAAAACTGAAGCTCTTTTCTAAAGATGTAAAAAAATCATTTGAATTGTCTTATAATAATATTCAGGCTGTTAAAAGTCATGCAGCAGGTATTTACACCAACTTTTTTAATATGAGAGTAAAAAAAAAAATATTGTTTGATTGATTCTTGATTTTTCATTGCAATATCTGATTTTAACAGATTTTAATCAACCTTGTGGTTGCTTTTATTGTTTTCAAATTGCTATTCCAAGCTTTGCAAGTTAAATGACTGTGAAAAAAAAGATAACATTATGAAACACTGTCAACATTATGAAACGTGGATTGTCATAAAAAACCGTGGATTGCAGCAAAAAAACCTTCTTCTTTTGTGCAACAAGGTGGATTGAAAGTAAATCTGTTGCAGATTGTGGCATTAAAATCTGGCTTAATATATGTATATTAGTTGAGTTTTGGGAAAAGTTACCATCTTTAAAGCAACTAAAATCAAAAAGCTTTTTAAATTTCAAAAAGCTTTTAAAGACAAACTTAGTCTTTTAAAATTTGAAGTTTTCAGCTTTGTTGCCAGCATATTAGAGGCGTATTTGTTGGCATACCAAACTGACAAGCCAATAATTCCATTCATCTATAGTAAAACAACTTAAAATCGTTCTTATATAAACTTAGAAAGACAACTAAGTCAACTTTCATAAAAAAGATAATCTACTTGAGGGAAATCTAATCAAACAAGAATTTGCTAAAACAAGATTGGCTGCTTAACAAAAGAAAGATATAAACAATGCTGATATTCAAAGTTTCCATAAAGATTGCACTAACAAGTATGTACAATTGATTGAAAAATTCATAGTTTCATACTAACATGTATATACAATTCATTGAAAAGTCCACTTAGATCTATTATTGTACATAATTCTCAGGTTCTTGACCCTAATGCAATGGTAACAATGACAAAACAATTTTAACACTGATTCATGGACAACCATGACATGGACAACAGTTGAGAGGTTTTAGTATAAGTACACAAGTAATGAAAAAAAAATTTAAATTAAAAATCAATAACTGCAAAGTGTTTAGTCAAAGATCATATGCTATCAAATAGTCTTCAGCAAAATTACAAACAAAACAATTATCAATGGATATCAGTCATTGAAAGATATAGAAGCTACCTAAAATTAATCAGACACTTAAAAAAGAAAGTCAATTGGCAAAGAAAGTTGTTAGCAATGAAGTAAAAAATGTTGAAGACAAGATCAACTTAAGAAAACTAGTGAAATGTTGCAGTTTGATTTTTTTAAATTTGTTGAGTAAGTTGCGGAGAAGCAAGATCTAAGCTAATGCTATGAAGCAAAAAGCAAATGAGAAAAACAAAGAAATTAAGAAATTAGAGCTGGCACTTGCTATCATAGAACAAAAAGTATAAAAAACAAAAAAGACAAAATAACTTTATCTAGTATAGTTCATTTACAAAGTTTATATTTTGCAAACAAAACACATTACTTTGTTCAAAAATGGTATTTTTTTAAAATATGTTTCTTATATTTATTGTATTTTTATGGTTTTGTTTCTTGTTTAAACTACTTTTTATTACAAATCTTTCTTTAACAGATTGCTATTAACTAATTAAAAAGAGGGAATACTTAGGGAAAATGGATTTCTAAAACTGCCATGAACCCTGAACTATATTATTAGGAAGATTACATTTTAAATGTGGAAAAAATCAAATACAGAAAATTAAAATTTATTAGGTACCCTTAAAAATCTATGAAAGTTAATTTTTTATATAAAGAGAAAAACTGTTTTTACCTGGAGTATCAACAACTTTGTTCATTTTATTTAATCGATCCTGTTTCCTTTTTGCTTTCTCTTAAAATAAAAGATTACAATTCATGGTTTAAACATATCATCAAAAGTAGGAAAAGTTAAAAATAAAAAAAGATGAAAAATACTTGCGCTGTTGCACATTTCATCTTCAAACGATTTTGGTTGAAGTGATTTTATTCTTTTCGCTCTAGCTGGCTGACATGGCGATTCTATATATTGGGGAACTTTTGCAGGAAATAAAGCCTCATCTACCCAAGACATAGTCGATTTACAAGAATCAACCCATAAAATGGATACAAAAAAAACATTTAAATATTTACGAACTTGATTGTATGTTGAAGGCCTACCATCTTTAAAAACCTAATTTAAAATAATATTATTTTTAAAAATTAAAAGATATATACTACACTGAATATAGGTCAGAACTCTATTGATATAATTTGCTCATAATATTTAATATTATAACAACATAGCTTACTTTATTTTTTCAGTCTATCTAGATTTACAAACTTACCCCATACTGTAATGTCATTTGTATGTATATTGTGTCTCCTAAACTCAAACCTCAGTTTTTCTTATTTCTTTCTTTTACATCTTTAAGCCCTTCATCTTGCTGATATTATAGTTATGGCTTACTTGTAAAGCTTTTTAAAAAGTTATATAAAACACAACAATAAACAAACTGCTAGACATAAATATAGACATTGCTCAATATATGATATAACTAATATCATATATTGAGCAATATATGATATTAGTAGGAGTTAATAGACAGTCATTAATATGACTTTGTCTATTAACTCCTAAATAATAAATAATAAAGTCATTAATATGACTTTGTCTATTAACTCCTACGTAGGGATTGCAATCCCGGGCATGAATTACGATCCCGGGATTTCGGGATTGAAGTAAATAAAATTCCGGGATCCCGGTATCCCGGGATTTTATATAATGTGAGTTATTTGCTAAAAAACAGAACTTAATACTGCATATATGAATATACTTTTTGATGTTATCAATTCTTTATTTAATTTCATTATGTTTTATTGACTTACATTAATTTTCTACGGCGCCTTAAATTGTTTTAATTGTGTAACAGGCAGCAGGTGTATATAAAGAGCTTAAAATAATGCAGAAATATATATACGGTACCTTCCATATTATGTTTTAAGATTACAGACCTTACAGAATAACCTTCATCAAATAATTGGATATGTAAATAACATTTGAACATTTAAAGTGTATTTGACTAAAGTAACTAAACAATCAAAATTTCAAAATAAATTTGTATACATAAATTTTCTTAAATTTGGGTACCAATGTAGCTGCTGTAGCAACAAGCTACTTTGTAAAAAATAACATAATAAGTTGTTTGTTAATATTGAGAGACAAAAATTAAAGAAAATCTTTATTTTATATTTATAAATAAATGGTAGCTAAATAATAAATGTAAAACAAAAAAACAATTCATATTAAATGCATATTTTATTTACAAACTTTCTTTTTTTGTCTGAAAATATGCCCGGAGCAATAGTAGAGCATTTAAGGTTTGGTCATTTAGCCTACTCCTTATTTTACTTCCCAAATACCCAGCCGCAGAAAATGCCCGCTCAGGTTCGATGCTCGTCAGTGGAATAGATAACAAATATTGGTATACTAATTCCAAATTATGCCCCCGGTTTCCACCATTTTCAAACAGATGCATTTCTTTCTTTATGATTGACATTAAATTTGAAGTTTGTGTTTCTGGTTCAATGGCTTTCATGCTTTGTGCAATTTGTTCTTGTAACTTTTCTCTTAAAGACAGGGAGGCTCGAACTTGTGATTCTTCATTTCTAACGACAGCCATTATATTTTCATCAACATCAATACTTGATTTTTCTAAATTATCATTTTTAAAAGCAGCTAGTCTCTCAATAAGTTTTTTTTATCTGCTTCCTAATAAGGGTTTTAGGAGGAACTCCAAAAATTTTGCAGACATTTGTTTCATCATTCACAGCATCATATTTTGGATTTTGAAGGTATTTTAAAACACCAGAAATTTCTTCACATTGTCTTTTTTCCATTCTTGTTTTTATAGCTTGGAACATTTTATTAGCAAAGGGAGATTGTTTTTAAGCAATCTGCTGGAATAAAAATATAAGTACTGCATCTGCAGTGCATAGATTAGCATCTCGTCTGCATAACGCATCTACTGCTAATTTGACAGGTGCAAGTACTTCTATTATTTCCGAAAGAACCACAAAATCACTTTCGTTTAAAGAAACTGGGTGGTTTAAGTCAATTAAAGCTTTCTGTATACATGTTTTTAAAGCAAGGAAATGCTCTAGCATCGATAGAAGAGAGTTCCATCTTGTTTTGCAATCCAAAATGAGCGAAAGCTCGCTGCCTTTCTCTTCTTTGACATATTTTTGCAAGACTGCATCATTTTTTGTTGGGGATCGTTTAAAAAGAACAACTACCTTACGGGCTTTTTTCACTAGTTCATTGATATTTTGTTCATTGGTGAGTAAATCCATATTTGCTATCCCATCATTTGTTGGGGAAAGAAAGCCTAATCCTATTTCCTCGTCGATATTTTCTTCATCTTCGTGATCATCTATTTCATCAACAATATCTTGAGTTTCCTTCAATGGTGCTTCGGTGTCGGACATTGGCATAGAACTTTTTTTATAAAGAACATCACAAACTGCAAGGTGAATTCCACGGACTAAACACAACTGGTGTTCAGCCTCAACAATTTTTCCCACATGAATCATTACATTTGGACCATCCGTAACAATAGCAACAATGTCTGTATCAATATTAACATTATGCTCCTTTAGACGTGTTTTTAAAACATCAATACATTTCTCAGCATTCATAGAACCATATACACGAATAAGACCCAAATTCCAGTGCTTATTTGGGATATGTACATTAATATTCATGTATCTTTTATTTGTTGTAGAGGTCCATTCATCAAAGCTCAGAGAAAATCGTGTTCCCAAAGCCTTATATTGATAAATTTCTTTGGAAATTAACTGTCTAATATTTAAGCTGTAACTCACCACTATCCTTTTAATTGAGTTTGCTGACTTGGGCAAATTTTCGAAACCACTGGTAATCAGTAATTGCCTTAAATCTTTTGATGTTACAAATACATTAAATGTTAGCCCATCTAAAGCTGTCATTCGAGCCAGTGTTTCGTCTAAGGTTTTTTTTTTTTCGGATGCAAAGTAACTCGTTATTCTTTGTTTCGTAGGAGGCTTCTCGTCAGTTCTGGCATCATTCAACTGTTGACTCGAACTAGGTAAATTTTTGTCGGCTGAAGTTACTTTCAAATTATGCTTAGTTGATAAGTGCGTATGAAGGCCTTTTGTAGAACCACCCAATGTTTTCAAAATTACACCACATTTCTTAAATTTTGCTGCCAAATTATCCGCAGACTTCAAATAATGTGACCACACTGAAGTTGGGTCTTTATCTTTTTTGTGTAGAAAAAATGATGTTCCCTTTTCACTGTTTTCATTCATGTTTAGAAGGATATTTTTTTAAGGTGCATTAGTAAACAACATAATATTGCGGTAAACAACAAAAGCATTAAAAAGGTTATCAGTTCAAAACGTTCAAAACGATTCATTCCACAGTCAAATTTTGTATGTATTCACACTAGAATTCCTTCAAGCGGAATTAATTGTCAAGGGCATTATAATGTTGCAATAACTAATAATTGTACAAATATAATTATACAAATCGCTAGAAATATTCCAAAGGGAATTGTTATGTAGTAATCATTAAATTTTTTTAGATATAATTTTTTTTTTATTACTTGTTCATTTTTATTTTTTTCATTCTCTAAAAATATTTTTTGAAATGAACAAAACGACTTAATAAACTCAAGCAATCACTTAACCACAAATTCGCTCAACAATTTTAAAATTTATCCTTTTAACGCGAGAAGTCTTGCCAACAAACTTAACGATTGTTTTTTATACAATAGTCAAACAAACCTGCCTTAATTTGTGTTTGTGAAACTTTTTTCAATGATAAAATCCCGAACTCCATGGTCTATTCAAAAATTTGTTCCATTTATTGTAAGGATAAAGCATAAACAGGATAAACCTGCAAAGCAGCATTATATAACTCGTTATAATTCAGTATAGTTACCAACTTTGAACATTTTGTTTTACAAAATAATTTAATTAGTTCAATCCTGCTATAATTCCAAAAATCCCGGGATTTTGTGTTTAGAATCCCGGGCTTTTCGGGACCCAAAAACGTCCGGGATCCCGGGATCTCGGGATTGCAATCCCTACTCCTACACTAATATAATGGCTCATTCAAATAAAATAAACTACAAATTTAAGTTACTTAAGTTCCAGTATTCTGAAAGTAGTTTGTTGACTTTGCATTTTGATATTTTTACATCTGGAAATAAAAACACAACTGTTCTGTAACTAGATTTATAAGACTCAGGGATTTCTCCCAACCAAATTAGAGACTTGCTATAATATTATTATTAACTATTTGAATTCCATTAAAAAATACTTAGGCCTGGGCGAAAAATATTTAAAAAATACTTTTTCATCAATTTTTTCCTTTTCTACATCAGCTCATCAGAAAGAGAAATAAATAGAGGTCTAAATAAAAGGATCTGAATACCAATGATGGTAAAGAACAAAATCAGCTGTAAACTGAACAAGTCTGAATTTAAAAACTGCAAACTTTTTCATGGTAAAACTTAATAGATAATGTAACACTCTTGCTAACTGCAGCATGAGCAAAATTCTTAAACAAACAAATAGCAGCCTAGGCAGGAGGATTGCTCTTGACTTCAAAGTCAATATCTTCATAATTTTCAACTGTGGTATCCTCTACTTAACACTTCAAAAAGAGATTATTTTACAACCTTTGGATCCCATAGAGTAAATAGTCAGGGCAGATTTTAATGGTCATATTAATAAACTCTATATAGTGAAACAGAATATTAATTTTTTTCGAGCACTTAACAACAGGTTGCACAATAAAAAGTTTTAACAAAGAGAATTCACTTTGACAACTTCCTCAGTTGAATCACTTCTTTGATTCAAAGCCTAGAGTTATATGCTAACAATTATTACTTTTTGCTTAAATGTTGGCAACAGGTCATAGACAATGAAGAGGCAAATATTGTTGAAAATTAGATATGAAATTAAAAATAAATGATAAATATTTTTGAAAAAAACGCTTCTTTTTGGCTACTTCAATACATAATCATATAAAGTGCAAACTTACTACATGGGTAACATTCTTTGTAAACTTCTCAGAGATCTATATAAATAATAAATACATTATATATTTTAAAGCAAGTAAAATTTTATATATATTTTATATGTATTATAAAACAATATATATGTATTTTTTTTATATATTTATTTTTAGAGATTTAAAAATATTTTACTAAATTTATGCTTTTATAAAATATTTTTTATATTTTATAAAATAAAAATCCTTTTTACATCTACATTATGATTTTCTCTTTTCAAATTTACTTACAACAAGACTGTAAACAACCAAAAATTGGAGTTACTAGAAGATAAGAAGATAAAAAAGATAAAGATTGTTGGAGATTGATGTAATACTAGGGATGAAAATTTCGGAAACTTTCAAGTCAGGAAAATAAAAAAAAAAGAGTAGCCTCCTCAACTGTAGTGGCCCCCTCGGGCCTTGGGGAGGTGAATAACTAAATAAAAAAAAAAAAAATTTCAAAAAAAGATTATTTTACAATTACAAAAAAAGTTATTTTACAATTAATGGGTAAAATTTTATGCCTTATTTAAGCAGTTGTTATGAATAACTTTATGGTAAAATATTGTGATGTAGATTATAAAAATTTGTAAAACACGTTTTTTGGTATTATTTCAAGTTTTTTTATTATAACTTTAAGTAGCAACTATGATACTTTGCTTTCAAAATTTTCTATAACTGTTTTATCCTGTTATTTGCTAAGCACACTGATGTTCATTGCTGTAGCAAGTTTAAGGCAATTTACACCCCCATCTTTAAAGGAGATGGGGCATTTTTCAATATCTATTAAATTGGCCTAAAAGTTACTGAAAACTGTAAAATTATATATAAAAAGATTTGATAGAATATTTACAGTATTTTACAATTTTTACTTGATTTATAGATGCTATTGATTAATAAAAGACAAAAAGTAAAGAAAATTTTTTTGCTAAATTTGAACTATTTAAAAATATAGTCAGCAATAAAAATGAAGAACTAATAATTTTGAGGTCATAAACCCCACTGCTATTTTAAATAAGTGCTTTTAAGACTTGAGTCTCACTCACCACAACCTTGCTAGGGCACTTTTGACTTTATAAATCGATAAATTAAAAAAAAAAAAAAAAGGGGGGGGGGGATGAATCAGTAAAAATCTCCTTAAAATAAGAATAAAAAAAGGTCCTTAAAACTAAAATTTACCCGACTGATGTTTAAATACCAGACTGAATTGTGTTGAAAATCACCTTCAGTGTGTGGGTAGAACAACCCCTTCCCCTACACAGCGTCCCCCGAAAATTGTCTTTGTATGCAATCTTCTCACATAAAAAATCTTTGTTTCCTTAAAACACTCTACGAAAATAATTCACAATAAAACTTGTTAATCTAAAAAAGATTTTATTTTGTGAATATTTTACATTGTAGTTAAACACACAAGCTCAAAAGACAAGCTAACTATCAAAACATCTTTTTTTTGATTCACAAAAGAAATATAACATATTATGTTATATGTTAACATAAAACAACTTGAGCATTTTATTGCTTTTTCAAAAAAATGCACATTTCTTAAATTTAAAAACTTGATTATAGAAAATTTGACTAAAAGATATAACTAAAATAAAGCTTCTATTATGGATGTAAGTCTTTATTTGAAATTAATTTTCATACAATATTTCAAGGGATTATAGCTACCCTCGTTGTCAAGTATATACATATGTATATTTTTTAAAAAAAACCGTTAAAAACAAAATAAAAACAAAAACAAATCAATGCAATAGTTTCTTTTCATTCAAATACCGAAACAGGTTTCCAAAAGGAAGTTGTGATGTAACCTTCGTCATCCTGATTTAGACTGCCATCAGAAGGTGAGCATTCATGGCGTTGTATTTCCCTCATTTAACGCCATGAATGCTCACCTTCGGACGATGAGGGTAGCTATAATCCTTTGAAATATTGTATGAAAATTAATTTCAAATAAAGAGTTACATCCATAATAGAAGTTTTATTTTAATTATATTTTAAACTCTTTAATGATGTCTTTTGAAATTTACTAAAAGATATGTATTTTTCGCTTTATTATTTCATATATTTTTTGTTGAAATATTTAAAGAATACCTAAATAATACTATAACAAAATGCATATATTTGAAACAAAGAAATGAATAATATTATATATATATATATATATATATATATATATATATATATATATATATATATATATATAATATATATATATATATATATATATATATATATATATATATATATATATATATATATATATATATATATATATATATATATATATATATATATATATATATATATATATATATATATATATATATATATATATATATATATAGATCATGTTTGTACTTTATTATTTTTGAGGCTGGTTTTATTAATATTAAATGAATAATATATATATATATATATATATATATATATATATATATATATATATATATATATATATATATATATATATATATATATATATATATATATATATATATATAATATGTAAAAATAATAAAGTACAAACACGATATAAAATATATGCATAAAAATTTTATGCAATTGATTTTGAGGCTAATTTATTTTTTTAAATTTAACATTTTATTTAAATGTTTATTTTTACATCACATAAATTGCTTTTAAAGATTGTATAAATTAAAGAGCCCTCAATGGTTGATATGAGTTGTGATGGTCAGATGGATTCTGAAATTATTTAATTAAAAAAATCACTATCACTGATTTTTTAAGTATTACAATATATTGCTCATAAAATTATATAGTTTTTTTATTAAAACATTTTTTATTATTAAAACTATTGTATTTTCAAATTTTAATTATTGCTTGTTTTACGGGTTACCAGATTATTTAATTGCTATGTAACAATACCTTAAGTTAAAATCTCAAGTTTGTTATTTGACCATTTTATGCGATCAAAATTTTTTAATGATATAAAATAGTAAATAAATAAAAAAATCTTTTTTAAAAGGTATTACTATCAAATTCATCTTAGGAAAAAGAGAAAAATTAATCTATTATTAATTGACTATTAAAAAATAAACATGCTATTTGAATATGTAAAGATATAGTCCTCCTAACAAAATAAAAATTTAGACTAACTAAAGTTTTGTTTTTCAATTAAAATTCCAAGCTATCATGTAAAAAGTTATTTAAAAAAATGATTTTGAAGCTTGAAATTTATTTTAAACAACAAAAGAAAAAAAAAAGAAGAATCAAGTTCATGCTTTTAAATGTTATGTATTAATGCAAATATCAAAGTTAAACACTTAAAGAATTTCTAGTTTTAAAAGTTAACAGAAAAATTTTAACTTTAAATAAAACTTGGTATATATTAGTTATAATATCAAAAATTTATATATAATAGCTAATAAAAAAAAAACCTAGATGTATTTAAAATAGGAATTGAAACGGTTCTTCCAATTTAAATATTTCTTATAAATAAAGTAAAACTCAAATATAAAAACTGAGATAAATTATAAAAAAAAAATTATTATCATAATTCATATAACAAAGTTTATTAATGACATTACTTCTTTCTCAGAACGGTATGTGTATGTGTGTAATATTTGTTTTTTGCTACTGTAGAAAATGTAAACAATTACTACTTGCTTCTTTATGTATTAAAACTTATATAAAAAAATACAATATATTATCTTCTAGTTTATATATTTACGCCTTTATAATAAAATATTTGTAAACTACAATTTTATAAAAATGATGGTTAGTGATAAGACATTGTCTTCATGTTTCAGCTATTTATTGTATATATATATGAAAAATGTATTTATAGTATGAGGTTTCACATATTCTTGTAAAACATGTACGTATGCACGTGTGTAAATAAACAATTATAATGTGTAGAAATAACAAAAGGCGAATAGAAAATAGTAATTAATAATTAATAGTAACTTACCGTTTCTTTTATGGCTGAAATATGTATTATAAATATAATAAGTAAATACCACTCATAAGCATTGATACTAAGTTAAGATGTTTTGTGGTTAGTACGAAAGTAGTTAAACGAAAGTATGATAAAAAATTGTTCATTATTTTCTATCTTCTCTTAAACATTGAACCTTCATTTTGAATCTTTTATTATTACAATGTCATTATGATGTAATCCTAATTAATTTACCCATAGATGATGATATATTAGATTGGTATGTAAGAATATAACATGTGAAAGATATGAGTTAATGATAACATGGAATTAAATTATTTTTGAAAAATTTTATTATATCAATACAAAGGAATTTAAAAACTACATACTGTTGCTCCAAGTTTCTCTAATTCTCTAGAAACAGCTTTTGATCTGTTTTCGTGTTCTGCTCGAACATCAACAAAAACAGTAATACCTATAATAATTTTAAATGTGACATTTTTATAAAAATGTGCAGCACAAAAATTGTTTAGAAAAAAACAACAAATATATTATGTTTAACTTGAGTAAACAATATTTTTTGAAAAGAACAATCAATTTTTTTACAATAACTACAGTTAATAATTACATCATTGGAAATTATTTTAAGATTCTTCTTTTATTACATTTATTCACTAGCAGAGCAATATCTGGCAATTGCACTAATACTTATGCACTAATACTTATGGTAAATCATGCATGACATGTGCCTTGTGCAAAATAAACCCATGCCATTAGAAAATGCAACAAGTTTGTGTAAAAAAAGGCTTTCTAATGAAAATGTAATGACTTTGTAATAACTAGAAAAATAATGAAAAGACGAGAAATGAAGACAAAAAAAATATAAATTTTTGAACAATAAAACTGTACTTGAAAAAGTGTTTAATAGTCCTAAAGATCCATGCTGCAAAATAAATTTTTTTGTAGCATGAAGATACTAAATTTTACAAGTTGAGATATTAAAGTCAAATGTCTTCTTTAACAATGTCGCTTATCCATCCAGAGCCTACATCGAGCGTTGGACCTCTTTATTCTAAGCCAGAACCATGGCTGCCTAATGTAATTATTTGTTCTGTCAGATCTTAAAAATGCAGATGAAATCCAGTGAAACAATGAATTTATGAAACCATTTTTAATACCAAACACAATGTTGGCTTTAAATTTCCTTGAAGAGATACATGTAATGTTTTTGATTTATTTTGGGCAAGGAATTACAAAAAGTATTCTAAACATCATATATTTTAAATTTTTATTGTAACAGTTTTTATAAAAAGTTTGCAAATAACTTTGGATAACTTTGGACACATAATTTCTGTATTCACCATAGTAGTGATGAGAAGGCAGTGATGTGTGTCTTATCTGATGAGATTGCATCTAAAGAGTCTGAAATGGGAAGCTGAGTTTTAAAAATAAAATTATTCTGGGTCTGTGGTTGTACCTAGAAAGTACAACCACAGATAAACAATTGTTTGATATTATTGAGCACAAATTTTTTTCTCCTTAGTCATATTTTCCTCCTCCCATGTGACAAAGATTTATATTGTTGAAATGAACTTTGCATCTTTGTCTCCTATGATGAACAAAATTATCAAATCTAATATTATTGTTTACAGACATCCTACAGACATTAGAAAAGTGATTCTATTTAGATTACTGAATAGTGAGTATTCTAGATATATATATTAAATATTCACACAAAGAAACTAGAAAACTAACTGGATGACTTAATTTAGACAATTTTAGTAAAACAATTTACATAGCTTGTAGACTGTCAGTTAATATGTAAGTATACAAATGGACATCGATTTTTGCCATCACACAAATTTTTATCAGTCATTTTTAAGTAAAAATAGTTATAATTAAAAGAAACTGGAAAACCTTGGTAAGGAGTATGACTTAGTATGAAATACTGTCACATGACTTCCTTTCCAGGTATTCTTTTAACTATTTAACTTAATATTATAACAAATGACCTAATGTTTAATATTATTTGTAAAGCACTGTCTAGTTTCTGTAACAACTGATAGTAAAACTACAATAGCTCAAACTACTACCCAAAATCAGATATTACTAATTTTTTCCTGAGTAACATCTCTGGTAAACTGTGACTCTTTTTCACATAACCCTACATTTTTTAACTATTTTTTAATTTAATTTTGGTTTCCAGTATAACCTTATTTTTTGATTCAATTAAAAATTTAAACATACAAAAATATTGCAGTTATTGTATTATTTTAAAATAATTATCAAATTATTGCACATGTATGAATACAATACAGAACAGAACCCTTCTATATGTGTTTGCAAATTATATATCAGAATTTGATTAATTACTATTTAAAAACCTTACTTAATTAAAAATAAAAATAATGATATAATTACCATGTAAAGGTTTACATTGATTTTGTAAATGATCAATTTTTAAATCACTCTTATTAGATAATACTGATACTTTTTCATCTTTGCATAAAGTTATTCCTGTTGTCTGTGGAACTAGCACATCTTTTTTTTCAATGTTATTTACAGCACTAAACAGTTCCATTAATTATTTTTCTGATTTTAATGTCTAACCATTAGTCTAATGATTAGGTATTTCAAAATAGTAATTTACAGCTTCAGTATTTAAAATCCTAATCATCACTCTAAAAAAAATTATTAAAACAAAATAGAAAACTTTTAAATAACTTAGACAAAAACAATTTTATGAAATATAAAAAATAGCATTGGTTAAACAAACCCCCTTCCACTTACTTATATTTCTAGTTAGTCAACCATATTCTATTATATTATCTTATTTATATTTCTACTACTAATACTATAAACTAATTTTCATATATTTTTATTTAAAGACATTTGTATTTCTATATGATTTCGTTACAGATTAAGTACTTTTTAAATTCCTTATGAATATGTATTTATTATTTTTTACAACTAAACATTAAAAATATTAAAAAATTAATGACTAAATATTAAAAAATTTAAAATAAACAAAATTTGGCGCCGCACATATACATAAATGCATTCAAAACTTGCTCGGGCAAGTTCCAAGGCAAAGCAAGGGTGCACAGCATCATAAATTCACATATTGAACAAATTGATAATTTTTTGTTTTTTTAATTAATTATAATGACATTTAAGAAGCTGTCCATTAATTACGTCAACGAATTTTTTGAAGTTTCTACCTTCCCCCCTTCCTCTTGTCAACCGTTTGTCAAATTTCCAGAGACTTCCCCTATAAAACTACGTCAATTTTTGATTACGCCGCCCCCCCCCCCTATATAAAGAAGATTTTCCGTTATTTAAGCGATGAAACTCAAAAAAAAAAAAACTTTGATTGACCTCCCCCCCTCTCCCTTGTCAACAACTGTCAAAAAAGTTCAAATCCCCCTCCCCCTATTTTGTTGACGTAATTAATGGACAATCTCTAATTATAAATGTTTTTTTAATTAATTATAATGACGCCGTTCGTAATAAAAAATTCTGACGCGTGGTTCGATTTATGAAAGGCCCAAAAGGAAACCCATAAAAAAACTTTTTTCCAAAAAAGAGTAAAATGGGGTAGAACTGAACACCGGAGAAAATTAAACACTTATGAAAATGTTAATAACGTTGACTAAATTTGGCTTTAAACAAAATTATTTTAGTTCTATAATATAAAAAATTTTGTGCTTTATCTAATAACGTATAAATAAATATTTTAATTAATAAATTTTAATTTTTGCGGCGAACAGACGTATTTTTTTTTCCGGAAGAGATTTATTTAGGGAAAAAAAAAGTTTTTATTTTTGATGTATTTAAACTTTATGTTATATGGCGCCAAGAGAAATTGGTGAGTTGTTTTTAACAATACAGTCAAGTAATAACATTGTAGAGAACTATCTAATAAATGTAGAGGAAAGTTGTTCCTATCCAAGAGATGTCATTATCAATGGGTTTTCGCAATTTAAAGAGGTGGAAGTTTTCAAATTAAGATTGGAATTATTTACAGAAATATTGGAACATTTTGATATGGAACAGTTTTCGTTGCTAAACATTATTCTAGACGCAGAAGACCCAGTGAAGAAAAATCTTAGAAAGCGTTATAAAATTGTAACGTGTTTTGATGATATTTATATTATGTCGAATACTTTAGCGGAAAATCAACCTCATAAGGACTTTAATAAATTGCTTTCTAGCTCCAAATTTATCAATCATCAAATATAAATATGTCAATCACTTTGAAAAAAATTATCGATCGCTTAAAGACATTACAATCTGAAAATAAAAAAATCATGACAGATTTGATTTCATTAAAAGGAAAGTACGATGAACTGCAAAAAATAAACAGCGAAATTGTAAAAAATCAAGGTGCGTCACAATCTAACGCAAGTAATTGTAAACCACAAGAAGTTGTAAAATCTATTGTTTCAAACTCAATAAGTTATCATTCTGTAAACCAAAAAATATACTGCAAGATGTTCCAGTATACACCATTGCAGAGGGTTCTAGTTTAAATGGTGATTGTAGAAATAAAATTCCTACGCTTTCCTACGCTACCATGGTTAAAATGCAAAAGACTAAACCGCCGAAAGAAAAAGACTTCATAGCAGCCTCTCAAGATTTTAAAGTGATAGGAAAAAATAACAAAGTTACAAAGAGTCAAATAGATAAGCAGAGGATAGAACCTGTTTTTGGAAATAAAGTTGTTAACAACAGAAGCTCGATTAAAGGGCAGCGTATTATTCAAGAGTCTTATATATTTGTAGGCGGAGTTTGTAATTCCATATTCGAAGAAGACTTATCAAATTACATGAATAAAGAAATTGGCGTTACACCATTAGAAATCAAGCTTAATAGATAAAACTCGTACAACCGTTCCTTAAAAGTAAAAAATCAAAAAGAGCGACAAAGAAATGGTACTCAAACTTGTTGTATGGGATACTAACATTATTATTAAACCGTTTATAATACATCGAGAAACACTAAAAAAACAACATCAAAATATCGAAAAACATTTGCCGCAATTCTTACATCACTCTAGAGCATTCTTGCGACAGTCTAATTATAAATTATAATGGAAGAAAAAGAGTTAAATTTAAAGGAAGAAAAACTTCTAACAACATTCAAAAGGTCCCGGATAGACGCAAGGTGAACCACTGCTCCTAAATTACTTTTCCTTATAATATATTATAAGGAAAATATATTATGTATATTTATATATATATAGTATATATTATATGCTACTACGTACTAGCAAAAAAGTTATGAAGCGATTTTTAGATAAAAAAAAAATATTTCTTATTTAATGACCTAAAACCTGTAAAACTAAATTTGTAATTTTAAACCTTTTTGGAAATTTCTAGCGGTCCCTGATAGCCACGAGGAAAAATATATCAAATAATTACTTTTTCTTCTATTTCTTTTAAAAATGAATAAAAATTAAAAATAAATTTTTGCTAAAGTAACTTTTATATAAAAAAACAAACAAAAATGAAATTTAAAAAAATTTAATCCAAATTTTTTTTTTATTACTAATTCAGTTTTACAGGTTTTAGGCCATAAAATAAGAAATAAGAATTTTTATGTAAAAATCGATTCATAACTTTTTTGATAGTACCATTGCAGTCATTTTAAACTTATTTTGAAATTTGTTATAAATATCTAGCGGTCCCGGAGGTGAGCCACTGCCCCAAAATTACTTTTCCTTATAATTATTCAAAAACTGCATGTTTTTTTTGTGTTTTTTTTTCCTTCTTTTCAACACAACTCCTAAAGAATAAATAAAAAATAAAATAAAAACAAAAAAAAATTTAATGATACGTTTTTTTTAGGAAAAAGATTTCTTATGGGTTCCCTTTTGGGCCCTTTATAAATCGAACCACGAGTCAGAATTTTTATTACCAACAAATTCGGAACGGCAACGTTATAATTAACTAGAAAAACAAAAAAATATTCATTTTGTTTAATATGTGAATTTATGATGCTGTGCACACTAATAAATAAAACGAAGAACAGCTTTATTTTTAGGTCTTTATTTGTTTATAAGATAAGGAATGGATGAAGGAAATTAGTCATTAGCCAAACTTCATTATATAATCATTCATGAAACTCAAAAACTTAGGAAAATAGAATTAGGCCAATATAACCATGATTGACAAATTTAAAGATTTTTTTGTAGTTGAATTTAAACAACTTACCATAATTCAGGTTTAACCTGAATTACGGTACCTTCCCAGGGCCGCTGAGAGCTGTCACGCCGCCTAGGACAGCAACCCTGATTGGCGCCCTTATTTATTCAAATTTTCGCTATATTATTGATGAAAGACCTTTTTCTATTTTTTATTTAGCGTCCCTAGGATATTTGCCATCCATGACAAACTGTCCCTCTAGCCCCCCTCCCTCTTGGCGGCACTGTACACCTACCATTATTCAACTTCTTTTATAAACCACGCATTTTATAAAGGTTTAGTGTTGTAGTTTTTAAGTTATTTCTACATTTTCTTCTTGAAATTAGTTGCAATGTTTTTTTATAAGAGTTTCATTCGTTTATTACACTTTTTTAAAAATATTTTCCTCTTGCTGATAACATCTTGAGAAGCTTTATTTGTTTTAAAGCTTTTATACTTTTTAAGTCAACGATGCGTTATAGTCAGCTGTATGTTCGCATTGAATTGTCTTATGACTGGCTAATCACTGGGACAACATCAGAATAATAGTTAGCGCTAAGTTCATTCAGAAAAACAAAAATATCAAAAAACTAAAAAACATGAAAAAAGTAAACGTAAAATTTAATTTACAATCTGTTCTTATAAAGTGTAATATATTAATTCCTCAAAAACAAATTACAAAATATTAATATAAAAAATTAAAACTCAAAAAAGATTACTTTTTTTATTTTTCCTCTCTCTCTCTTATTTAAGAAAACTAATAAATTTATTTAAACTAATGAAATCTAAAAATGCTAAAAATCTTTATAAGTACTTTTTTTATAATATAACAGACTGTAATACCTATATAAAATTAAAGAATTTAGACCTTCCAGACAAATAAAGTATATTTTTATAGATAGATTTAAAAATAATTATCTGTTTGTTCATTATTTAAAAGTAATAGTTTTAGTTTTTGTTTAAACTGATCAAGAGTTTTAAGTGTTTTAATATCATTACTGATTATCTTATTCCATGCATTAGGTCCTCTAACAGTTATTGAAAACTTGGTGGAGTCGTATATAGTTTTGGGTTGAACAAAGTTGTTGTTAGAATATTTAGTTACGTATTTGTGTTGAATTTTATTAAATAATGGTTTGAAGATATTTGGTATTGAATTGTTATTAATTTTATACATAAAAATCAGAAGATGATATATATTTATTTGGTACACATTTAGTATTTTTAGATTGTTAAACAATGGTCTTGAATGTGAGAGGCGGTGTGCATTTGATAATAATCTAATTGCATGTTTTTGTTTGCTAAATAGCTTTTTTATCTTTGTTTTATTGGTGCTACACCAAGCAATGTTTGCATAATTAAGATAAGAATGTATAAATGAGTAATATATGTATTTCAAGCAGGATTGATCTAAGAATGGTTTTGCTTTATAGAGTAATCCAATATTTTTAGAAATTTTATTTTCAATCATGTTTATGTGGTCTTTCCAATTTATA